GTGCGCAGGAGTCAACACTAAAACTACTAGTGGTATAATCGTGATGAGAGCATATCGTACGTGACGACTTATTTCTGAATTGTTTTGAGTACCTGCGTACTCTGTGTGCTATAGTATGCGTAGCTGTAGGGTTACGCATTCTTTATATATATGTAACATACACTTGTGACTGTGAGCATCTGTCCTTATGTGTGTTATGTTGGATGTATATACCTTTTATCTAGGCATTCTATATATACATATAGCGCATACTTGCGGCAGTTCCACACTCCAAACTGGTGTGTTCACCACAGTTCTTGACGATTTTGGGTTGTTCAGGAGTTTCCAAAGGTGATAGGAAAGTGTAGACAAAATGCGTCTGTCTACACCACAGAAAAGTGTTGGCTGTAAGGTGTCCGGCTGTATTACAGATATCAATTTCTCTAATCACATGAACGAGTTACAGGGTAAATTGTTAACGTATCCGTTTACTTTGCTTTCTCCAGCGATTCATTTGCGCACCGTTGCGAAGCTCTTTTCTTTAATCGTAGGAGCTACTGGGTTCTCCTACTGTGTTGAGAGAAAATATCACTAATACTACTACTATTGTTAACTTTCAGCAAATTATGAATTTAGTCTTATTCTGGTTTCATTTTTCTACTTAATCACTTGTCATAGATTCCTATGACCGAACTGGTGAAAACTTCCTCTCTGAACATTCTCAACATACTCTCATGGAGATAGTTCACGATAATGAAATTACAGGACGAAACGTTTGTAGAATTCTTATCAAATATTTATCAGTGGTAATTTTCAACATTGTAAAGATGGAAAGAACAGTTGTGTAATAGTTTCCTTTATCAGTCAGTAAACATGGTTTCCCTAATTATTAAAATGATATAAACATTTGATTCGACATGATCTAATAACCGTTTTATATTCTTATGTGAATTCAAAATGAAAAAGGCTACAATACCATTTTAACTTCCAATTTTTCACACATGAAAAACATGATTATTTTTTAAATTATTGAATGAGCAGAAATTTCTCCAGATATTCATAATCTATTCTTATTGTGAAATATATAACAAATAGGGAAGTATTACCATTGATATACTTCACTGCTGAGTACACGTATTTAACAGTGATACATTATCAGCATGTGGTTGTGGAGATTATTAAGTCATTTTGATTGAGATCGTGAACCAATTGATGCTAGACCACCACTAAAGACCTGGAAGCCCTGGACGGCCATTTCGTCCTATTAAGGGACTCCTCAGCAGTGTGCATCCACAATCTCGCTCACAGGATTTGAACCCAGGGCTTTCAGTCTCATGCGCGAACGTTTAAACTCTAGACTACTAAGTCGGCTTCAAACGTTGTTAATCTCTAACCTCAACCAATCAGGGAAATTGTGCGACCATCTTCTATTGTACTGAAGTAGATATCTCTCTCTACCCGACACGGATGATATATTAATTCGTGAAAAATAGAAACATCTCAGTAAAGAACCATCCCGTTTATTTGTAAATACGTCTTTATCGAAACATTACAAATTCTTCTTAAATAAATAATACAGTCCTCTACATTTTAATCTTTTTATCATGAATTTTCTAATCAGAAATGTTGTTAAATATTTAGAAGAGTATTTACGCTTTAAATTAGCCTCAAAATGTATATCTTGGGAACATTCAAGGTATCATACTCTGTAGTAATTGCATCCTTTATAAAGAACATTACAGCTGTCCTCGACAATTGACATTACTAACTTGGATTGATAAATATAACCATGACTTGATCGTGTTTAATTCATTAAATGAATTGGAGTGTATTTTTTGTATTATGGACTGTACACTAATATGTTACCTTTAAGTTGTATCAGTAACTTAATTTTACCAAGAATGTAATGTCGCCTAACTGTATATAAATAGCGAATAAGAATAATGCAGTTCAACTGCTATCTGTAAACGGATTTAGTTTTTAGCCAATTATTCTTCTCATGTAAATTCTCATCACGTAGAAAATTTAGAACTCCCCTAAAATATTGTATTTACAAATGTTCAATGTTCTATTAGATGACTGAAACAGTGTCATGTTAACTCATAATGCCAAAATCTTTTTTTTAATATGATTGAAGAAGCACTATCACTTCAACCTTACTTCTTCATGGCATATGATAAACTTTAAATACTATTTCAAAGTCTACTTTGCATAAGCCAACATCCATAATTTAGCACAACTACTTGTAATTTAAAAGTAGTTTATGAAATTTAAATAAATTTTGTATACAATGAGCATGATTGTCACAATAACGACAGAACCATTATACCTAAGAAGAATGCCTAGGTAACCGTAGCACTTGAACGAGACAGAACCTAGCTACTTAACTGGAAAATATAATAACAATATTTGTCATCGTCTGAACAAAACGTTATTGGTTTCTCATGAAAAAAATTCCCTTACCAAGTGATATCAAGATTTAACTTTTGGCGACTTAAATGAAAATCTGTCCTTATTGGTTAGTAGAAACATTACTTGATTACCTTGGAATAGGTAATATCCATCGCTCTATACTCTTATTTTTATATCTTCTTAGGAAAAACCATATTACTTTGCGGCACCTGTCGCATTTTAAAAGGATAGATGATATTTATATTATCTTGCTCAGGCTGTGTGGCAGCCTTAAATAAAACTAGGAATTATGTTAAGGCATAAACTTTCTGACGATCAACAGGGTAAACTGAAGTGCACTACAATACACATAAATCACAGGCGAATAAATAATACTAAATGAACAAGCATAATTTCTTCACCAATTAAGTAACAAGCAATTCTGTTATCATTTATCTTGTGTAAAGTAAACAATTGTTGTCATCGGTACAAATATTTTTATATAACTTTGTCATTATTCAGTAAAATGTATCACTTCCAATGAAGCAAATAATAACTGGTCAAAGTAACTGGGCGGATAATTCAAAAGACAATTCCTACTCTGTTTATGACAATAAAGATCTTGTTTTTTGGTAAATAATACTTGGAAATACATTAAAATGCTTAAACCATTATGGAAACTCTTACATTTCAAGAGACCTCGGTGCATTACAGAAATCTCCTCTTTGTAACACAGTCTTCTTGGCGTATACATAACTTTAAATCAAATGATAATTAGCATTATGGCAAAATACTATCTGAAAATCAATATTAATCATCCGTCCATCATTCAACAGTTATAATAACAATGATAAGAACTACGATTTATTTTGTTTCATGATCATGATTTCATCAACAGTTTTATCTAATAATATGTCAAATAACGAAAATTGATATTATATAAAAATTTTGATGTGTGAATTGATGGACAAATAAAATTCACTTTATCAGTTCCGAAAAGCGTATACACAGAAATGGGATTATAAACTGAAGTTTCAAAAAATCCTGATAAACTTAAACGACGATATGTTTAAAAAACGTATAAATCACCAGATCACCTTATTTTCAAATCTTAAATGAACGATCCCTCATGATGTGCAGCTTAAGGAATAACTAATGCTTCGAATTGTGGATGCGCACTGCTGAGGAGTTCCATACCAGGTTTTCAATGGTGGTCTAACATTAATCAATTCATGATCTCAATAAAAAAACTCAACAACCTTTACAACCCCTTGCAGATAAATAAATAACCATTAGAAGACTTTCTTAAACTCTTACACTTTTCATCATTTTCCTAATGACAGATTTGATGTAATTTCCTACAATATTTTCCGTTATCGGAGAATAGATTTTATATGAAATTAAAGATAATAAACCTCAACTACATAATTGGACTAATATTTTGTAATTAGACAGTGGATTTTCAAATAAAAATAATATTAGGTAATATATTTACGTATACTACTGGTGTGGTGTGTGCTAATTAGATTAACATAAGTAGTATATGATGTCAGTCGTGAACAGAAGGTCTGGCAGCAAAGAGACAAGAGCATCGAACAGTAAAGAATGGAAACAGGATGTAATTTGTATGGAAATGCAAGAACAATGAAGTCTGAGTCATTTTGAGACAATTGGTGGACATTTTGCAAATTAAGAATTTATTTTATGATTGTTAGATTTTGTTAACAAGTCCTGTAATTTTATGTTTAATAAATTCGATTGTCCCCACTGGTGTTCTTGTTCACTACACTGGTACACTGACGTATTTACTATAATGAATACCTTCAAGTACTCAATAGAACATTTAACCATATTGTTTGGGAATGAGAAAGGCACCTTCGGCTAGTTTTAACGTAGATCATCATTTCTAATTAGAACGTTTGAAATATTTATCATCAAATACTGATATTACTACTTGATACATTAACTTACAGAATCGATTATGCAACACTTTCAGTAAAAATTGATAAACCTTAATTAGTTTACTGAGAAGAACCCAATAAATAACTTCGAAATACTCTTTAATTTGACAAAATTGAATATAATAGTTAAATTCATGTGTCAATTGGAGCTAGACCACCATGGTAAACCTGGAAGCACTGGAAGGCCGTTTCGCTCTAATATAGGACTCCTCAGTAGGGTAGTGGATGCGCACTGCTTATGGTAGCCTATCTTTAATTGACTCATGAATTTAATTATTAAATTACTATAATATCTAAAAAAACCTGATTAAAATTGAATAAGTTTGATTTAATTAACAAAATACATTGAAAACAATAATTAAACATACTCATTATTTTTATGAACTATTAATGATACACTTATATAGATAATTTTGCTATATACCCTACTTTTCACTTCAATTTTAGTAATATAAACTGGATTTTTGTATTTTGTATTCAATAAAATATACTCTAAGCTTCCTAAATTACACTGATAATGGACAGCAGATTCTGATTTAAACATAGTTAACTTAATCCTTAGTGTATATTTTAAATTTGTGTTAAGTAAAATTCCAACTCAAGCAAAATGTATAGAAAATAAACAACCTTGAAGTATTTATTTATTTTAATAACAACTAAAAATATTCAATCATATAATTCTTATTAAAACGGTATATAGATGATTCATACAAGGTATTGTTTTAAACTTATCCCAGCTTAAACAATAGTACATTTAAACCATTTAAACGAAAGCTCACAAATCCTCCTCTGTCATGATGTATAAAGCTTAAGAAATGAAGAAAGAAAAAAAGAAAAAGAATTCGATATAGTTCACTTACAGTTACTAAGTAATGGAAATTCATAATCAAAATGGTTATTTGAAAAAAAAAAACTATTTCCACTAGAATCTAAACTACTACAAAATACAAAATATAATTTATCTGTAATTTTAAATCAAACCAATTGAGGTTTTTTTTTGTAAATGATTACTTACCTACCAAAATTTTTACCAACAATACAATTCCATGTTGCTTTGTATTTACGATCAAATTCATGTTTAATATAACTTGCAATATGCATATCAATATTATGCTTTTCCATTGCGATTGCAGCTACATAAACAGCATCATCTTCCATTTCAGGTATCATATCTGATTTATCTATTACTGCACGAGATTTATCTATGGCCATTTTGTTTTGTTTTCTTATAGAGTAAAGATTAGTTATAACATTTCATTTCTTTTTTTTAAAAAAAGAGTTTATATCTACAATTAGTAATCACTAGTTTATTAATAATTGGTTAGAAATTATGCGTTACCTTATTTAACTGTCTTTATTTGTGGAATACTTTATGATGAATCTCATATTTTATCAAATGAAAATTACTACATTGTTCATACTGAGTGATATGAACTTTCTTTAAAGTAGGTTTGTATTAATAATATAATGTTTGCTAGCCTTTAAAACTAATCATGTAATAAACTCCTTTAATTAACATTTTATAAATTTTGTTTAAGATTTAATCTGTGTGTGAATTTCGGTTAACAGATTCTGTATTCAAGATCCAAATTGTTAATTTCTAAATTTACTTTATTTTTTATCAATCTATACAACTGTACAGTTTGACAGAATTTTATTTTGCTAAGCCAAAACTTGACATCAATCATTGAATTCACTAACTTCTAGTCTGAGCCATGTTGATAGACGCAGACTACTTGATTGAGGTCAGCATGACAATCATAAGCAACGGTTGGAGACTCCGGGTGACATGGCTCAGAATCGATCACAATGGCGTTGGTGTATACACTTTCTATTTTCCCTTAAATCCCGAGATTATAATTACTTCATACCTTTCTAATTCTTTCTTCTTGTATTATGGCCTTATACACAACCTTCCTTTTATATATTACTACCATTGAAGTAACTACTTCTATAAATTTAGTGTTCATCTCGTTGTGCTAATGAGGTATGGCAACTTGGACCGATGCATATGTGTGCCTGGTTCTACGTTGTAGCTGAATAACTAACTGATTCTGCAAAATATCTTTTTCTATCAGGAGCTTCACTTAATCAGTAATAAAATTCAACACACAATTATCGCTTTTTTAATCTGTAATCCATGCATTATTTTAGGAGTGTAGGCTTGAAATCTTAATTAGCACCCCATGTAGACCGATGTATTGTAACTGAATAAGTAAGCTAAAATCATAAGGACAAAAAAGATTCATATGGCATGTGATTTCTTACTTCGCCAAAAATCTAGAATGAAAAGTCGATAATAATAAATGTTGTCGTAACTCTAATTACTGGTTTATTTCAAAACCAGAGTTTTCAAACAACTCGAATACCTAAAATGACTATACAATTTATTAGCTTTGATAAATATTTGCGATTTCTGCTACCACTAGCCATACTCTATCGGAAAAATTGTAATGAACAAACATAATGTCATATAAAATCCTTGTTCAATAAATAATAATAAACTACACTGATTGTTTTTGAGTATTCCTAACGATTTCAGTCCACTATATCATTTATTGGACATTCCATCTAATACTTATCATATCTTCATCAAGTTAAATATTACACAATTAATTCCGACTAAATCCCGGTATTCATATGCCCAGAAAACTGACTGGTTGTTACTACCTGTTATTGTTATTTATAACAAAGAATATTTGAGCAAAAAATTGATTTCAATAACTTCGTCATCGGGCTTTATAATTATAAGTCCATAATTGTTGTGTTATTTTACAAGGGCCAAAATAAAATACGCTAGTGAATTAAACAATGTTATACATTGAGAACGGGAAACTTTTGAAGTTGTTACGTCATGAATACTTCAAAAATGTGTCATTTTGTAAATTCAAAACGTCATTTACATAAGGATAGAATGATTCGTTGAAATGTGTCATGGTATAACCAGTATAGTAATAATAATAAAATAATTCATGTGAATAAATTACGTAGCAGGAGAATTTCGTCTGGTTAATATTCTTTGTTTTTGATTTTTTTATGGTGATTTTTAAAATATTGTTCACTGGTTTTCGAGTTATAAAAAAAGATTAAATTTATGCCTGCAGAACTTAAAGTTTATAATGTGAATCTAAACAAAGTAAATGGACCGAGATTGACCCAATAAAAAGTATACTACTCGTTAATTATCACCAAATTACTAAAGAAAATAACTTTCAAGGTACAACACTAGTATCATGGATACTAAGCGATTTATTTGAGTTAGGAGTCTTTCATTGATGACTGTAAAATATTAAATGATATTAAAAAGATAAATGTTCTAAAGTTATCGCATTGATTAGTTTCAAAAACGCTACGCACTATACAAATGTTGATAAAGAACTAACTAATAATTTGGACACAGAAGTTTTCCAGATACATTTTAATCCACCACATACATTTGATATTCATATTTTAAATACCAGTAAAATAACAGCTCTAATTACCACCATGATATGGTAATTTTAACTACCAATGTATAATTTAAACACATGATGTACTATAGTGACAAGTCATAGATTTTATGTTAATCAGATGGTAATCCTCTAAGTTATCACTTTAAAATTCAAATCGAATAGAGAATGAGTAACTAATCACCCATAAGATTAGTAATGTATTTCTTTAATTTCATGTGCTCACATTTTATTATTCTTTTAACTAGTGTAACTTAAATGTAACCTGTATAACATACTATGCAATCAAAAACATGTTCGTTAATTTTAAAAGATTAACACATGTGATAGATATTATGACTTATATAAGTTATTCTTAAAATAAAACAATCGTAATTACTTTTAAGAAATTATGAAGAGATTCAGAATTCATGAAAAATCAATACAAATTAAAAAAGTAATTATGGATGAAGAAATGCAAATGGACGTTATAAGCACTGTTATTGCAGCATTACATATATATGGAAATGAATATACAAAAATGAAAAAGTTCATAGAAAACAAACTGAATAAACGTTATCTTCCTACATGGCATTACATAACTGGTTATGATGTGGATAGGTTAGTAAGTATTTTCATTCTATTCATGTATTTCTTAATTATTCTACGAAATTCATTTTGTCTAAACTTGTAGGTAATTCAATTCCGTAGAAACTTCATACAATAGTAAATGCAGATTTTCTTTATGTGAATCAAGCGCGTAGATCCGTTAAATCATATTTGTAACTAAGGGTTATTTGATGCCAGATATTAAAATCACCGCTGAAAGCACACAGTTGATTCGTAATATTTCGAACATTATTTGTCCCGGAAATTTTCGTCTATAATAATTAACATCTACTTAAAGAGGAATAAATCTGAAGTGTCTGTAGTAAAATGTATCTCACTACAAAACGATCGTATAACCAGATTAGTCAGGCTGAAATCTGAATCCTCACCTGTTTGCACAAAATGACAATGAAGTCTACTATGTACTTACTTATGTTGTTGACTAACCGTTGAGTTTGTATTCCGATTAAACGTGATAAGTCCTTCTTCAAAAAATCAATTCTACAATAATCTATCACTTCATATACGTGGTGTTTAAAGGCGACTTTAAATAAAGAACTAGATGAATAACTTACAACTACAGTGCCTTGTACAGAAAATAACTAATTACAAGAATTATAGTTTGGTTCATTACTCCTTCATATGAAGAATGTCTCTTTCTTCTAACAATTAGTTTACTGACCAAACACATGAACTAAAGGTAAGCAAGAATTTGATAATGAAAACTACAAGTGAAACAAATTACTTGAATTCACAACATCCATGAGTATTTATATATTCATCTACTTGTCCTGAACCATTGATGTACGGCGTAAAATTCGTTTACATACACTAGAACATTATCCGGATTGGTTGAGGAAAGGATAGGTAAGAGTGATTACGAGTCTTATTCTTGCTCATTTGGTGGACGCAGAACACTAACTTGAACTGAATAAGACTTTGAAAGATACCCATCAAATTTACCTCATGGTTGACAAGTTTTTTTCTATATATTGCTGAAGTAATCGTGATCGAAATCCGTAAACTTAATATCTATGTCCACAAAAAGTATATACAACTCCTCTTTCCATCTTCGCCATCGATATTGAAGTGTGTTTTAGCTAGATTTTGATAAACCCCTATTCCTTTCAAAAATATTAAAACGGTTTTCTAATTTTTTTCCAACTTCATATTTCATATCTTCTCAATATGCGTCTTTTGACTCTTAAATAACTACTATAAAATCGACTTTTACTAAACTATTTTGTTATCTCCCATTTTAAATATTACGTAATCTAAGAACCGTTTAACTGAATATTTCGATCCTTACAAATTATTGCTCTAATGATTATGGTCTTCTTCCCTCTAATTACTCAAGTAATCATGTAATATTGCATTATAATGATTTTGAAATAATACTTATAACGTTACTCCACAATCTGATTAGCATCATTTTGTTGTAATATATATATCAGAAGTGTTTTTTGTGGATACTATAGTAATTTCAATGGTTGCAATCATGAATCAATTAAAGCTAGACCACCACCAATGAAATTACTGTAATATCCACAAAAAAACCTGATATGAATCAACATATGCTCACTAGTGACTGGCTTCAAGAAGTATTTCCTGGAGTTCTAGTGACAAACAGTAAACACTGGAGTTCAAACGAGTCTGTTGTTTGATAGTAACTCACAGAAGACAATAGTGTATGTGTCGCTCAAGTTCGTGGATTAGTTAAAGTTAGACATTATTACTGTTGGATGCCGGTCGGCTGTGGTCTAGATGTTAAGCGTTCGCGCGCGAAACTGATAGGTCCTGGGTTCGAATCTCGCGAGGTGGGGTCATAGATGCGCATTGCTGAGGAGTCCCACAATAGGACGAAATGGCTGTCCGGTGCTTCCAGGTTTCCATGGTGATCTAGCTTCAATTGACTCATGATCTCAATCATTGATATATATATATATATATATATATATATATATATATATATATATGTTAGAGTCATGAGGAGAAACTTATTGAAGGGAAATTTCTTTGCCCTGTTCGTCTTTTACTAAATGTCTGAATGGCAACTTTTAAAATACCGAAATATTATCATACCTTAAAGAAAAAACCTTAGATAATTTATTATTTATCGTCGTTGAAAATGACTGGAACATACACTATATTGAAACAAAGTTCTGTTTTTGCTTTTATCCCAAAAATTTTATACCTGTTCAAAATATCGAACTAAGTCTATACGTCGATTTTGTTCCCTGTTAAACAATCTTCAAATACAGCACAATTAAACTGAATTGGTTTTTATGCATTAAATTTACCATTTTATTGTAATCATAATGTACATTTAAGTGATATAATGGAAGTTATAAAAAGTTCATTTTATTTTTTGTATTTTAGCTCATTACTAATGCCTGTTCAATACTTCATTTCATTCAAATGTGAAGAGAAGAATGTTACTGTTTTTAAAACAATCTAAACATAATATAATTACAAACATTCATTTATCATATTTCTTTTCAATTCCTTATTTATATCCAACCAAGTATATGTTTAAGCAAGTATTCATATATTTTTCAATTAGGTGTTGCTTCGAATAAGAACGAAATGAAATAGCTCCCACAATAACTATTAGATCAAAAATGTTTTATGATGGATCTAGGTATTACAATTTATAGTTTCCAGCCCGTTAAGTTATTTTATTGAAAAAGAAACTTGTAATTGAACTGGATTTAACCACGACATTGAGTATTCCGCTGTTATTGCTTTTACTAGAATACTTCACTCATATGTTTGAAATTTTGTGTAAATGTGAAAAATGAAGAGAGGCTTTCTGTTTTAAACCAAGATATTTTGCGTACCTAAGTCTATTTTGTGGTTAGGAACTAAGATATTTACGGTTAGGTTTGTTAAACCTGTTATTCTACTTGCAGTCATATGATTACAACATTGAGTAAATGTAAATAAATAAAATAATATAATATGTATTTGTAATATCCCACTGAGTAAAAAAGTTAAATTTTCTGACATTTCGTGACTCAGTGTAAGCCACTTCTTCAGATCAACATTAATCCAAGGTTAAATAGTACAAATGATCAATGTAAGAATATTATGTACTCAATTGGGTAAATGGTTTGAAAATGAACGTTGATAATTTTATCTCTTCACTCACTCATTTCAGCATTGACCTAGATTGCTAGTTGTAGTTTAATCTAGAACCCAGATTTCATTGGAGAGTCTAAAGTAATCCCTTGCTTATATATATCTTTTTGAAATATACCTCAGTGAAAAATTTATAAATCAATTTTGCTAATGAACTCAAAACTATTTTAACAGTGATTTTTTATCAAAATTCAGAAATAATTAACTATAAATTCCAGGTCTGTTTATGAAATTATTAGTTTACTTTATAAGAATAATAATATACTGATGCATTCTCAACTATAGAAATGTCTTTCTATTTGCAGATATTGATTTCAATTATTGAAGATTTTAAAGATGTATGATTTGATATGGGATCGACAGTGGTGTTTCTTTTTTAGCCTGGAATATTCCTCCAAAAAATAATAAATAAGTGTAAAGAAACTGTTTTACGAAATGTTTGAGTCTTAATCGTGCCCCAAAATAACTATCGATTTCTCACTCGAATTGATTAAGTAACTTAAACATGAAAAATTTCAAATAAAATGGATTGGAAGAAAAGTAATGAACTAAAACATCTAACTTATTTATGAGATTCTGAATATCCCTTTATTTAGCACATCGTAATTGGATAAAATTATCATCACTAACGAATATAATTGCATGTCAAAAGCTATTGACTAGAATTTCCCTGTAAAATAGAACAATTAAATGTTACAGCACCATTTGCTGCTAAACCAGAGACAATTTCATTTAGACTGACTGCGATATAAATAAATCGTGAGTTTATTCAAAAGCGTTTGAAGAATATTAACTCATTGACATCATCGATCTACAATTAGTTAACAATGTATCATAACAAAGGCAAATCATTATGGCTATCTAGATCTGTTCACAAACTTAAGTAGTTAGTTGACTATACAGAATATGACAGGTGTACCTATCATATTACTCTTAGTATCATAGCCAAATTAGCCAGGTACTATTAAGAATGTCAATAAAGTCTTGACTTGAATAAACTGAATCAGATGAATAAAGAGTAATTATTCTAAACGCAATGCAACATAATTTTGATTTTTATGAAAATATTGCCTAGTAAAGTTAAACTTTCTGGATTATTATATAATATACCGATTTTAAACAACTTTATACCTAACAAATCTTGTTAAACACAGTGATTTAATGTATCTTAACGATTAGTGCATACCTTACGGAAACCAAAACCTGACTCCTGTCACTTTTTGGGCTGAACGATCCTTATAATATTGAAACAAGTCATACGATCAACTTTGTCTCACATATTTTATACAAAAATGTATTTTTCAGCTTGGATTTATTTACATTTACAAAATAAGAAAGTCACATGCTCGAAAAAGACTGTAATCAAGTTAAACGTTCTAAACTAAACTATGAATTTGAGATGATGGAGAAGATTTGTAGCTCAGATGGATGATTTTGATGAAGTTTTGTTCTGTGAGCTGGATGGTTTGAGAGAGAACAAAACTCTATCAAAACTATAGATTACTTTGTGAAATTCATTATAACAAGTTATTATGAATTATGATTACTAGACGTAGAATAGGTAATGTTGAAAATTTAAAGAATAAAACTTCATAAAGAAATTGACATAAAACATAAGGAAGTTAAACATAATTTGATAACCTATTAAGTTTCTTCAATTGATAATGTATAATTCACCTCTTATCTAATAACTCAATACCCCTATTAAACATTCATATTTATAGTTATGAAGATATTTCACATGTTAAAGATATGATTCAAAGACAATTATTTTTCTCATTTTTCATTTAGTAACTTGTTTATAGTTTTCATCATTAGAATAAATCTAATTAGTTATAAATGAAATAAATTCATTAGGTACTTATTTTAATAATCTAAACCATTAATTTAATACTAAACTTTATAATATTCTAATGTACAATAATTGAAACAATAGAACTACATGAATGATTGTGAATATATTATTAAAACATTACAATACAAATAATAATATATTCTTAATAGAATATGAAATTCCATTTGAATACATACTATTCCTTTAACTGTTATAATGCTTACTATTCCATTCATGTAATATCATAAATAATCCATTCATTTTATTAAGATTACAATGAACTGTCATTTAAATATACTTATTACTTGTTGTTTTCTTTTCATTATATGCTATTGTAGTTATATAATAATAATTATGTATTTTTTTTATATAAAAAAGAAGCATTACAAAAAGTATCATATATTCTTATTCAAAGATAATGTATCGAAACATTCTCATCTGATTTACATATATACACTTACTTCAATCTACAGAGTATTGCCAGGTTGATGTTCAAACAATTAGATCATATAATATCATTTATAATATTCATAATTATTTGAAGTATCAATAGTTCTTTTTTAAGTATACAATTGAAATTAAGACTTTGAATATATATATATTAAACCTATTATCTGGATATTACATCCAATTACATTTAATAGTTATAAAATACTAATTAGTTTCATTATGTAATATTTCTATAACAAAATGAATATAATCAGAATGGGTTTTGTGGAGCTTTTTAGAAATTTCACATGTTGAAATCATGAGTCAATTGAAGCTAGACAATCATGGAAAACATGGAAGCACTGGATGGTCGTTTCGTCACAGCATGGGACTCCTCAGCATCCACGATCCCGCACCCAACGAGATTCGAACCCAGGACCCACTGATTTCGCGCGCGAGCACTTTATCACTAGACCACTGATGCGGCCGGCATCCAATGGTGTTAATGTCTAACTTCAACCAATCCACGAAGTTGCACCACCGTACACCGTTGTCTTCAGTGATTTGATATCTCACAACAGACCTGGTTGAACTCCACTGGTAACGGCTTCTCACTAGAACTCCATGAGTATCTCCTGAAGTCAGTCACTAGTGAGTAGTCGATTATTATCAGAATGGCCGTCCAGTGCTTCCAGGTTTTCCATGGTGTTCTAGCTTCAATTGACTCATGATTTCAACCTGTGAAAATGGATATAAGAAGATAAACTATTGACAATAAGTATAAACTAGTGCATACTGATTTTTAAATTATTTCATGACTGAAAATGGGAAAATTTCTGAACTTGGTATTATCAAGTCAATATATCAGATTATGGTTCGAAATTTGAATAATTTGTTATGGGAAACGAACTATTGTTGAATGAAATTAGGTTCTTTTTTAAAAAACACTAAACCGAACATTGGTTTGTTAAGTTTTAGTTTTTTTATATTTGAATTCAAGAGTCAATTAGACCTAGACCACTATGGAAAACCTGGAAGCACTGGATGGCCATTTGGTTTTAGCATGGAACTGCTCAGCTTCAATTGAATCATACATTCAACTAAAAAATTAATAAAATCTCTACAAACCACACTTTGATAATTTTTAGTTAGTTGCTTTGTTATACATGCCTTAACTCATGAAGTCAGAAGTAAGGAGAATACCTTATGATAACCTTTATATACTATCATTACATATCAAGAATGAGAAACACTGTTTCCTGGCTCTTTATTTAAATAATATCATAGTTTCTTCAAAGTTGAAATTCCAACTTTTTGTTCGATTCAGTTCACAAACTCGTGGTGAATAAATAAAAGTACTGGCCTTATAAAATGTATTGATGCTTTCAACAATCACGTATTAATCTCGTTTAATATTACGTCCTTAATTTTAATAAAATTGTGTAGTACGAAGTGATTTCATATTGACCAACAGTTGATGGTCTTCGATGGCAACAAAACAGTTTCATATTTAACAATTTTTCCTTGATAGTTTATTCGAAAAATGGTTTGGACGTTATTGAGTTACACTTTACTTTTTTGTTACAACAAACACTAAATGAATTGCTACTAAATGTTTTTATAGAAAACTTACAACCCTCGGTATTGTTGGCTTGTATCTTCCCATTGAGGTTCAAGACTTCAAATGATCAATCTGTTTTTTAGCATGTGTGCATACTGTGCGTCTGCCTCGATATTGCTTTAATTTACAAGCTTTTTGTAAGCAATGATGGATAGTGGCTAGCAGTGGAACATAAGCCAAGCAATACCAGGTGAATTTAAATTCACCCCATTGCACAAGCAAGTGGCTATCAGGACTCAGTAGCTGAGTGGATAACGCGATGGCGTTTGAAGCGAATGGTACTGGGTTCGAATCCTTAGGTGTACATCAACTCTGAGATGCAGGTACATCCAGCTGACGAGTCCCAAACGGGACGAAACGCGCGTCCTGGATTCCACTGCTAGCCACTATCCGTCATTGCTTAAAAAACCCTTACAACCGATAACAAAGCTAAACTCTCCCATACATTTCATAACTTGAATTTATTTTATAAATTATTCCTCAAATAATTTTATCCTCAACAATTTCATTATATTATTATTGTTATCCCACTGATTCCTTTTTTAAGAAATTACCGTAACTAACCATTTAAGGTAGAATGAAACCCTGGTTAGCAGAAAATATAAATTGTTCTGATTTATTGATGATTTGAATTTTTTCAATCAAAATCAAAAACTAAAAACATTATCACAATAGAAAGTAAACTCTCATG